AGTTTGAATCCTGGAGCCGAGAAGGTGAAAAATATGTCGATTTACCCTTGGGCAATGCACTTAACCCCAATTGCTCCGGGTCGCCATTGATAATGGCTGACCCTGGCTGTGATCCCACTCTCAGGAGGAGTTAGGATATACCAAAAACTCATTTCCAATTTCACGAATATAAGCACCTACTTATGTAGACAGTGCACTTTGTATTTATAGGTTTGAACGTTTCCAGTGTGTTCTTCCCTCTGAAGTCTATTGGAACGGATAACTATCAGTTTGCTTATTGGGTAGTTACTTCAGCAGCCACGGTGATTTACAATCTTATACAAATCTAGCCCCTGATCAGCTAGATGTGCTACATTACATGTGAGAGTGACCTCTAGTGGGATTACAATGGAACTGCAGGCATTCTTTATGCCTCCTGTTGAGTAAGTATTGTGTACTGTTTCTCTCAGTTGAATCCTAACTTCCACTTAGGTCAAATGTTCACTTAGTCTCCCATTGACATCAATGCATGATGCACTCTCTCTACTGTATGTAGAAAAGTAAGCCATATGTAACATTCAGCCCCATATAAAAGCATGCTATAGAGTCTTCATTACATGTTCTTCATCATAACCATCATCACCGTCAGTCATCACCATCATCATTATCGCCTTATCATAATCATCTATCTTTGATATATATAATCTCGAGACAATAGTTGTATGGTCTTAAAAAGCTCAGAGAATAAATAAGGGTTTAGTATACCAACATTCAGTAGAACATTAGAAAGAGAAGAAGATAAACGATAAACACCTAAACTAGTCCTCCCATGCAAAGAAACGCCAGCTAAGATACTAGTTAATAGTGGTTTTGTAATACTATATACTTCCCCTAAGATACTAGCTAATAGTGGTTCTGTAATACTATATACTTCCCCTAAGATACTAGTTAACAGTGGTTCTGTAATACTGTATACTCCCCACTAAGATACTAGTTAATAGTAGTTTTGTAATACTGTATACTCCCCACTAAGATACTAGTTAATAGTAGTTTTGTAATACTGTATACTCCCCACTAAGATACTAGTTAACAGTGGTTCTGTAATACTGTATACTCCCCACTAAGATACTAGTTAATAGTAGTTTTGTAATACTGTATACTCCCCACTAAGATACTAGTTAATAGTTGTTCTGTAATACTGTATACTCCCCACTAAGATACTAGTTAACAGTGGTTTTGTAATACTGTATACTCCCCACTAAGATACTAGTTAACAGTGGTTTTGTAATACTGTAAACTCCCCCCTTTAAATATGCATCTTCTTTTTATATTGATTTTCAGTGCTAGTAAAGACACAAAGAAGAACACAACAACAACCTTTGTACATGCTGCTTTCTCTTCTTTCTCTTGGAGGGGGGAGGAGGAGGGGTCACATGTTTGGTTAGCTCGCTTACTCAGGAACACTTTTAGGGACGTACAAAATGAAGCCCTCGTCTTTCAACTAGGGAACCTACCTTTAAAACATAAAGCAACAGAGAGTAATCCAACAGTAAATGCACTTTAAACTGTCAGACAAAATAAATAAATATAAACCTGAGGACTAACCAACCGGCTGACCGCCTGACAGTCCAATGAGATGGCTTTGCTAAAAATGGCCTGCCCAATAGCGACAAGAAACCTCCTTAGGCAGCCAATCACAGGCAGATGGTGGGACGGCGTCAGGAGAAAACCTCACACCTATTCGTTAGAGAGAAACAGCCCTGTGCTGATGATGTCTCTTCTGGGAACGACACATCCTCACTGCTAAAGTACATGTGTGTTTAAATCCATCTGTCCATCTCTGTTAACCCTGGCACAAACACAGTGAGTAGTAGTAACACAAGTCAATAACACTAGATAGTACCAAGTCAACGAGTGTGATTTTACAAATGTGAAAATATACATAAAAAGATAATTAAATCATAAGAAAAGTAAGTCCACGACTGAAGGCAGAGGCCTGATAGGACCCCTGAAATAAAGCCTTCATCTCCTAATTTACCTCTCTTTCATGTGGAATTTCATGTTCTTTATTGTAGAATAATAGTGAAGATATCAAAACTATGAAATAACACATATGGAATCATGTAGCAACCAAAAAAGTGTAAAACAAATCAAAATATATTTTACATTTGAGATTCTTCAAAGTAGCCACCCTTTGCCTTGATGACAGCTTTGCACACTCTTGGCATTCTCTCAACCAGCTTCATGAGGTTGCCTTGATGACAGCTCCTTGGCATTCTTCTCAAACCAGCTTCATGAGGTAGTCAACTAGAAACATTTCAATTAACAGGTGTGCCTTGTTAAAAGTTAATTTGTGGAATTTCTTTCTTTCTTAATGCGTTTGAGCCAATCAGTTGTGTTGTGACAAGGTAGGGGTGGTATACAGAAGATAGCCCTAGTTGGTAAAAGACCAAGTCCATATTATGCCAAGAACAGCTCAAATAAGCAAAGAGAAACAACATTCCATCATTACTTTAAGACATGAAGGTCAGTCAATACGGAACATTTCAAGATCTTTGAAAGTTTCTTCAAGTGCAGTCGCAAAAACCATCAAGCGCTATGATGAAACTGGCTCTCATGAGGACTGCCACAGGAAAGGAAGACCCTGAGTTACCTCTGCTGCAGAGGATAAGTTCATTAGAGTTACCAGCCTCAGAAATTGCAGCCCAAATAAATGCTTCACAGAGTTCAAGTAACAGACACATCTCAACATCAACTGTTCAGAGGAGACTATGTGAATCAGGCCTTCATGGTCGAATTGCTGCAAAGAAACCTCTACTAAAGGACACCAATAATAAGAAGAGACTTGCTTGGGCCAAGAATCACGAGCAATGGACATCAGACCAATGGAAATCTGTCCTTTGGTCTGATAAGTCCAAATTTGAGATTTTTGGTTCCAACCGCCGTGTCTTTGTGAGACGCAGAGTAGGTGAACGGATGATCTCTGCATGTGTGGTTCCCACCGTGAAACATGGAGGAGGTATGATGGTGTGGGGGTGCTTTGCTGGTGACACTGTCTGTGATTTATTTAGAATTCAAGGCACACTTAACCAGCATGGCTACCACAGTATTCTGCAGCGATACGTCATCCCATCTGCTTGGCGCTTTGTGGGACTATCATTCGTTTTTCAACAGGACAGTAAACCAACACACCTCCAGGCTGTGTAAGGGCTATTTGACCAAGAAGGAGAGTGATAGAGTGCTGCATCAGATGACCTGGCCTCCACAATCAACCGACCTCAACCCAATTGAGATGGTTTGGGATGAGTTGGACCACATAGTGAAGGAAAAGCAGCCAACAAGTCCTCAGCATATGTGGGAACTCCTTCAAGACTGTTGGAAAAGCATTCCAGGTGACACTGGTTGAGAGAATGCCAAGAGTGTGCAAAGCTGTCATCAAGGCAAAGGGTGGCTACCTTGAAGAATCTAAAATACATTTAGATTTGTTTAACACTTTTTTGGTTACTACATGATTCCATATATGTTATTTCATAGTTTTGATGTCTTCACTATTATTCTACAATGTAGAAAATAGTAAAAATAAAGAAAAACTCTTGAATGAGTAGGTGTGTCCAAACTTTTGACTGGTACTGTACATACAATAGTCATCCAACAGCCTGCCTGTTACCTCTCCATTAAGGCCCCCTCCACATATTAAACAGGCATAAGTGAGGACAGCCCTGGGCACGGCTCCACCTTGTCAAGCACACCCCTCCCAAAAAAATATTTATTGAACATGAGCTTGGGCTTAGTATAATATAATAGATAACATACAAGAAGCTTAAACAAAAACTGCCAATATAATTGTGTCACTTAATAGCCACAATAAAAAACAGCCACTGTGAAATATCGAAAAACATCAAACTAAGATTTCCTTCCTCTAGAAACCACTAGCATCAAGCATTTGAATTATACAAATTACATATACAATTTCAATTGTGTAATAGTAGTAATAATAATAATGATAATAATAATAGATTTTTACTTCCAACTTTTCATCCTGTATTTCCTGTATTAAACAACACAAGTTTAGATGGGAAAAGGAAGAGGGGAGATCATGTGACAGAAGAGGAAGAATCAAACGCACACTGAGGACGAAGAAACACCCCCCCCTCAATACACTCCCAATACTGGGCATGAGTGTGGCGAGGGGAGAGTTGGAGGGGTTGGGTTTTGGGGGCGGGCCGACAGTGAGTTGACAGTGGGTTGACAGTGAGTTGACAGTGGGTTGGAGTTGAGGGGTGAAGAGGGTTGCTGTTGTATTGGTTGTTGTTGTTGTTTGCAAGAGTATTGCTAGATTGTTGTTGGATGGTTGGTTGTTGAGATGGCGTTGTCAGTGGGTGCAGTGGCAGACGGCGACAGACAGGGGGCGGTAGTCGTAAAGAAGAGATGCATGCTGGGTATCCAGTGTGCGAGAGGTCTGGTGCTGCAGACTTAGAGCCACCCAACACTGGACCTGTTCTCCCTCTCTCTCTCTCCCTCCCTCCCTCCCTCCCTCCCTCCCTTCGTCTCTCTCTCTCTCTCTCTCTCCAACAGAGCACTCTTGTCAGACATGGCTTTGTCATTCTCCTCCTGAAATACAGGAAAATACACTATTTAACAGGCATTTTAATACTTTCTGAAACTGGTTGTAAAGGGGGGGGGGGCTCAATATACTTTCAAATGACTCAAACCAAATCGAAACTGTGTAGAAATGATAATGGACCTACATTAATAAAGTTTCTTGACTGTGTCCCGCTCGCTAATAATCACTGAAATGAAAGCTAGACAGTCAGGGGATTATAAAAAATTCTAAAACGATGGATAGACTATCCTTTGCTAATTATGACTGCGAGGAAATATAAATAATTTTCATTGCTGCCCCCCCGGACCTCGTTGAAGACCGAATGCAGCCTCGGAGGAAACAATTATTTTGACACCCCTCTTCTACCTGTACCTCACTGGAGTGGCGCAGCGGGCGCGCCCGAGCAATGGAAGTGGACGTTCTGCCACTTGGAGTCCCGGCGGTGCCACACCCTAGTCTCCTCTGATTGGCTGGAGCGCGGATGGCCCTGGACGTCAACAAATTGGGTGAGGCGGATGTAGGCGATACAGGCGGCATCCTCTCCAATGAGGTGGACGTGGGGGTTGAGGATGGTGGTGTGGATAGGTTTACTGTTCTTAGACAGGACTGGAGGGAGGGAGGGAGGGAGGGAGGGAGGGAGAGAGAGAGAGAGAGAGAGAGAGAGAGAGAGAGAGAGAGAGAGAGAGAGAGAGAGAGAGAGACAGAGACAGAGACAGAGACAGAGATAGAGACAGAGACAGACAGAGAGAGAGGAAAAAGGAGAGAGAGAACATTGTGTCCATTGGTCTACTAACTAGTATTAACTCAAGTTATGAGAAGTGCTCTGTTGCTGTTCTTACGGTTGTCAAAGTAGAATCTGTGGAAGTCCATTCCCTCTACCAGGTTGCCCAGGGCCTCAGGCTCAAAGGAGGTCAGACCAGGATCACAGATCTTACTGTGGAGAGAGACTAACACACGTCAATGTCTCTCACACACACACACACATTAAGATACATGCTCACACTAAAAATGACTAAACCAATCATCAAAGCCTCCCACTTCTCGTTTGTAGCTACCCACACACAGACTCTCTCTCTCACACGTACTCTCTCTCTCACACAGAGACCCTCTCTCACACAGACTTTCTCTCACACACAGACTCCTTCTCTCACACAGACTCTCTCTCTCACACGTACTCTCTCTCTCACACACAGAGACCCTCTCTCACACAGACTTTCTCTCACACACAGACTCCTTCTCTCACACAGACTCTCTCTCTCACACAGACTCTCTCTCTCACACATACTCTCTCACACACACATACTCTCTCACACACACAGAGACTCTCTCTCACACGCCCAGTCTCTCGCTCACACATACATACACACACACACACACACACACACACACACACACACACACACACACACACACACTCAGACCCTCTCTCACACTCAAATTAACTCACGAGTATGCCTCAAAGTCTCCATTGTTGACAGCCTCGATCAGCTGTTCAGTGATCTTAATGATCTCTTGTTTACGTGCTGTAGGAGGAAAGAAGGACAGAGTCACACACACAAGTGGAGAGAACTAGTGGAGTGCAGTGAGTATCCACCTCATACGCACACACCCCAACCATCCTGTATCAACCACCAGCACAACTACACACAAGAACGACCTGTTGATAACTCTCACAGCTGAATGCACAACCTGTTGATAACTCTCACAGCTGAACGCACAACCTGTTGATAACTCTCACAGCTGAACGCACAACCTGTTGATAACTCTCACAGCTGAACGCACAACCTGTTGATAACTCTCACAGCTGAACGCACAACCTGTTGATAACTCTCACAGCTGAACGCACAACCTGTTGATAACTCTCACAGCTGAACGCACAAACTGTTGTTAATGCTCACAGCTGAACGCACAACCTGTTGTTAACGCTCACAGCTGAACGCACAACCTGTTGATAACTCTCACAGCTGAATGCACAACCTGTTGATAACTCTCACAGCTGAATGCACAACCTGTTGAAAACTCTCACAGTTGAATGCACAAACTGTTGTTAACGCTCACAGCTGAACGCACAACCTGTTGTTAACGCTCACAGCTGAACGCACAACCTGTTGTTAACGCTCACAGCTGAATGCACAAACTGTTGTTAACTCACAGCTGAACGCACAAACTGTTGTTAACGCTCACAGCTGAACGCACAACCTGTTGATAACTCACAGCTGAACACACAAACTGATAACTCTCACAGCTGAATGCACAACCTGTTGATAACTCTCACAGCTGAACGCACAAACTGTTGATAACTCACAACTGAACACACAAACTGTTGATCACTAACAGCTGAACCCAGAACCGCTTTGATTCCATCTGGCATAATATCACTCTGCACTTAATGTTAGTTGCTACATGTGAAACCACACAATTCACAATTTTCACTTCCAACAAGCAAAAAATCACCACACAGTTAGTTGTGTCCTTGTTTTCCCTAGCTAGGTCAATCAAATCCATTTTATTTGTCACATGCTTCATAAACAACAGGTGTAGACTAACAGTGAAATGCTTACTTACGAGCCCTTTCCAACCATGCAGAGAGAAAAATAGAAAAAGTATAGAAAGATAACACGAGTAACGATAACTTGGCTATATACACGGGGTACCAGTACCGAGTCGATGTGCAGGGGTACGAGGTATTTGAGGTAGATACAGTATATGCATAGAGTATAGGTAGGGGTAAAGTGACTAGGCAACAGGATAGATAATAAACAGTAGCAGCAGTATGTGTGATGAGTTAAAAGAGTTAGTGCAAAGAGGGGTCAATGCAAATAGCCCGGGTAGCTATTTGGATAACTATTTAGCAGTCTTATGGCTTAGGGGTAGAAGCTGTTCAGGGTCCTGTTGGTTCCAGACTGAATCGGTACCGCTTGCCATGCTGTAGCAGAGAGAACAGTCTATGACTTGGGTGGCTGGAGTCTTTGACAATTTTTAGGGCCTTCCTCTGACATCCCCTGCAATATAGGTCCTGGATGGCAGGGAGCTTGGCCCCAGTGATGTACTGGGCCGTACGCACTACCCTCTGTAGCGCCTTGCGGTCGGATGCCAAGCAGTTGCCTTACCAAGCGGTGATGCAGCCTCCTGATGGGCGGCAGGTAGCTTAGTGGTTAAGAGCGTTGTGCCAGTAACCGAAAGGTCGCTGGTTCTAATCCCCGAGCCGACTAGGTGAAAAATCTGCCGATGTGCCCTTGAGCAAGGCACTTAACCCTAATTGCTCCTGTAAGTTGCTCTGGATAAGAGCATGTAAAAAATTATGGGGATGAGGCGTTGTTGTGCCTTCTTCACGGCTGTGTTGGTGTGTGTGGACCATGGTAATTCCTTAGTGATGTGGACACAAAGAAACTTGAAGCTCTCAACCCACTCCACTACAGCGGAGGGGTGCTTGGCCCTCCATTTCCTGTAGTTCACGATCAGCTCCTTCATCTTGCTGACGTTGAGGGAAGGGTTGTTGTCCTGCCAGGTCACTGACCTCCTCCCTATAGGCTGTCTCATTGTTGTCAGTGATCAGGTCTACCACCGTCATGTCATCAGCAAACTTAATGATGGTGTTGGAGTCGTGCGTGGCCACACAATCTTGGGTGAACAGGAAGTACAGGAGGGGTCTTAGCACGCACCCCTGAGGGGCCCCCATGTTGAGGGTCAGCATGGAAGATGTGTTCTTCCTTCTTGGGGGTGGCCCGTCAGGAAGTCCAGGATCCAGTTGCAGAGGGAGTTGTTCAGTCTCAGGGTCCTTAGCTTAGTGATGAGCTTTGAGGGCACTATGATGTTGAACGCTGAGCTGTAGTCAATGAACAACATTCTTACATAGGTGTTCCTCTTATCCAGGTGGTAGAGGGCAGTGTGGAGTGCAATAGAGATTGCGCCATTTGTGGATCTGTTGGGGCGGTATGCGAATTGGAGTGGGTCCAGGGTGTCTGGGATGATGGAGTTGAAGTGAGCCATGACCAGCCTTTCAAAGCATTTCATAGCTACAGATCAGAGTGGTCTGCTTGAAAGGTAGGTATTACAGGCAGGGTCAGGCAGAGGTTGAAAATGTCAATGAAGAAATTTGCCAGCTGATCAACACATAATCTGAGTACGCATCCTGGTAATCCATCTGGCCCCGTCACCTTGTGAATGTTAACCTGTTTAAAAGTCTTACTCACAATGGCTATGGAGAGCGAGATCACACAGTCTTCCAGAATAGCTGGTGCTCTCATGCATGGTTCAGTATTACTTGCTTCGAAGCAAAGGCATTTAGCTCGTCTGGTAGGCTTGCATCACTGGGCAGCTCGCGGCTGGGTTTCCCTTTGTAATCTGTGATAGTTTGCAAGCCCTGCCACATCCGACGAACGTCAGAGCCGGCGTAGTAGGATTCGATCTTAGTCCTGTATTGATGCTTTGCCTGTTTGATGGCTCGTCGGAGGTTGTAGCGGGATTTCTTATAAGAGTCCAGATTAGTGCCCCGCTCGTTGAAAGTGGCAGCTCTAGCCTTTAGCTCAGTGGGGAGGTTGTCTGTAATCCATTGCTGCTGGTTGGCATATGTACGTACGGTCACTGTGGGGTCGATGTCGTCGATGCACTTATTAATGAAGCCGGTGACTGATGTGGTAAACTCCTCAATGCCATCGGATGAGTCCCGGAACATATTCCAGCCTGTGCTATTGAAACAGTCCTGTAGCAGGACGTCCAGAACTTCCGACTCGTTGAAGTAGAAATCTTCATCCAAATCGAGGTTAATGATCGCTGTTCTGATGTCCAGAAGCCATTTTTGGTTATAGGAAATTATGGTGGAGACATTATGTACAAAAAAAGTTAAGATCAGCATAAAAAAACTGACAAAATAGCATAATTGGTCAGGAGCCCATAAAATGGCCTCAATCCACTGCGGCGACATTACAGTCTTTTAAATGCCCTAAAGCAAAAAAGGCGTCTAGAGCAACACTCAAATCACGCTGTAAACACCAAAACAATAGATTCAAACCTATATGGCCTAGAGGCCAATTTTTACCCAACTGAGCTAGGTAAGAGGCCTGCCTCGCCTGGTATAATGGCAGGGGAAACAGTCGTTAGGGTTTATCACACAAGTCGGGGTGCTGAGTGACCGGCGTCACAGCGTGCACTGTGGGTATAAACCCACACAGCCATTTGATTGGCGGATGCTTTGAGGTCAGGGGTCATGCTGAGTACTCACTCTGAGAGGTGAGGGAGAGGCTGGAGAGGGACATGGGGGGAGGAGGGGAGATGGGGTGTGATGGTGGGGGGGTGGGCCTGGGAGCTGGTACCACCTCTGCCTCGGCGGGCGCAGGTGGGGTGGGGGCGGGGGCGGACGACCGGCGAACATTGCTCACTAGGTCTGAGAGACGGGATACTGGTCGCAGGAGATAGAGAGGGATGGAGAGATGGAGAGAGAGCGACCGAAAGATAGAGCAGGAGAGAGAAAAAATAAAAAGAGAGGGAGAAGGTGTAGGGGTAGAACAGATCAGAAAACAAAATGGTGAATGGAAGTATAAAGAACGCAAACAAAGGAACATGTTCCATATGAAACAGACTTAGAATGAAGATTATGATACATGTCCTGTCTGGTTGGCCCTGCCTGCGGCTATTTTTAATTATTTTTTAATTTTACCTTTATTTAACTAGGCAAGTCAGTTAAGAACAAATTCTTATTTACAATGACGGCCTACACCGGCCAAACCCGGACGACGCTGGGCCCCTATGGGACTCCCAATCACGGCCAGTTGTGATACAGCCTGGAATCAAACCAGGGGGTCTGTAGTGACGCCTCAAGCACTGAGATGCAGTGTCTTAGACCGCTGCGCCACTCGGGAGCCCCATAAGGAACCCTGACCTGTTCACCGGACATGCTACCTTGTCCCGGACCTGCTGTTTTCGACTCTCTCGCTCTCTACCGCACCTGCTGTCTTGACCTCTGAATGCTTGACTATGAAAAGCCAACTGACATTTACTCCTAAAGTACTGACCGGTTGCACCCTCTACTACCACTGTGATTATCATTTGACCCTGCTGGACATCTATGAATGTTTGAACATCTTGAAGAACAATCTGGCCTTAATGGCCATGTACTCTTATAATCACCACCCGGCACAGCCAGAAGAGGACTGGCCACCCCTCAGAGCCTGGTTCCTCTCTAGGTTTCTTCCTAGGTTTCTGCCTTTCTAAGGAGTTTTTCCTAGCCACCGTGCTTCTACATCTGCATTGCTTGCTGTTTGGGGTTTTAGGTTAGGTTTCTGTGTAAGCACTTTGTGACATCTGCTGATGTAAAAAGGGCTTTATAAATAAATGTGATTGATTGAAAACCTCTCAAAAAACACATAATAGAACAAAACTGAACAGATTATTTTTTATGAGAGAGAATACGGTGCCATTTTGGAACGCAGCGCTGCTTGTCTAAATATCTACATTGCAAATGACACCCTGTCCCCATCACCTACATAATGTACTTGATTTGGCCATTTTTACATTTTAGTCATTTAGCAGACGCTCTTATCCAGAGCGACTTACATGAGCAATTAGGGTTAAGTGCCTTGCTTAAGGGCACATCGACAGATTTTTCACCTAGTCGGCTCAGGGATTAGAACCAGCGACCTTTCGGTTACTGGCACAACGCTCTTACCCACTAAGCTACCTGCCGACCCCTATACTTACGCTGCATGGGGGTGTGTACCATGGGTGGGGAGGCGGCGGAGGGGGCGGCTGGAGGGGGTGGAGGTGTGCTAGTGCCACCCTCCCCGTCAGACATGGGCCCTGACGCCCTGCGTACAACTCCAAATAGGTCTGGCAGCTTAGAGGCTGGGGGAGGGAGGGAGGGAGGGAGGGAGGAAGGAATGGAGGCAATGAATATGAATAAAATAAAAGAGAACAGAAGATATTCACAAACAAACTGCATGCCAAAAGGAGAAAAAGCTGAAACAGAATCCGTGCATGTGCCATTATGACTGTGATGCTGTTCTTTCTGTGTCCACAAGAGGGAGACATGCTCCATTGGGACTGTGATGCTGTTCTGTCTATGTCCACAAGAGGGAGACATGATCCATTGGGACTGTGGTGCTGTTCTGTCTATGTCCACAAGAGGGAGACATGCTCCATTTGGACAGTGATGCTGTTCTGTCTATGTCCACCAGAGGGAGACAGTGGGCCACTACACACATACACAGGAGAGGGGGATGAAGGAATTGGAGATAGAGGGAGAGAGGAGTGAGGGATGAGCTGAAACAGAGCAGTGTGTACATCTCTAAATCTCTCTACACATGATGCCATGGCCAGCTATTTTCATGCTAGGCTAAGTTATGCTTTTAGGCTAGTTTTAGTTCGACAATGTTGTGTATCTGGTCATATTTTTATAATACAGACATTATTCACAACAGTTAGACATGATTGAGATTAACACTGACGATTAGTGAAGAAGAGAAGAAACCCAACATGGGTTCACTGAAGCCACATCATTCAGAAGGACAACATGGGTTCACTCAAACCACATCATTCAGAAGGACAACATGGGTTCACTCAAACCACATCATTCAGAAGGACAACATGGGTTCACTCAAACCACATCATTCAGAAGGACAACATGGGTTCACTCAAACCACATCATTCAGGGTTTCAGTGTTCTATAACTAAGTTGTGATGGTAAATACAAGGGGTGTGTCAGGCTGAGGGGCAGGAGTGTCAGGCTGAGAGTCAGTCTTAACTGAACTGTCTATACACTTCCCTGATCTCACACACACTCACACACACACACACACACACACACACACACACACACACACACACACACACACACACACACACACACACACAAACAAACAACAGACAGATCAATGGGAAGAGATGGACGGAAAAGAATAAGGTAAATTAATGAAAGAATGAATGAATCACAACATGTAGGAGGTGAATGGAAACCAATGAAACACCCACTAACGGTTTTAGATCTCTGTATTTCATCTACTTAGGGTGCGTTCCAAACGGCACCCTATTCCCTAAACACTGCTACCTTTGACCAGGGCTCATAGGGGATAGCGTGCCATTTGGGATGCGGCCTTTATCTTCTGTATCAGTAGACTAGATGTATTACATGTATTAAACACCTCCGCGGGATTTTCCATCTCCCCTAATGTCTTTGTTGTGGTTGAACGTCTCATCAGGATAATTATAATCATGGTGATAATGCCTATGGATGATATGCCACTACTTTTGACGATGGCTCTATTTACTATGCCCTTTATAGTGCACTGTTTTTTTAAATCAGAGATCTGGTCAAAAGTAGTGCAGTATATAGGGCAGCGTTCCCCAACAATTTGGTCTTATTTGGGCCCCCAATTATTATTATTATTATTTTTTTTATTTTTTTATTGCCATTGTTGGACATAAAACACTGTAAAAACACCAGGAAGTCAGCTCCAAGTGATTTATTCTTTATTTTGGAAATATGTACCCAAGTGTTCTCACACATAATAAAGAGACACGTGATCGTATATAAATGTAATATTCCTCTGATTGTGTAACCGGGTTAAGATCGTAGCATATACCTCACTCAACAGTTTGACATTTCTCCACCTGTGTCACTGAATTGGTACCTTTTTGGTGGTAAAGCTTGCTAAGACCTTGTCAAGGGGGGCTGTCATGTGTGTCTGCAAAGCAGAGGATCACCAGTTCGAGCCCAGGAAGTGGGCAGGGAGAGTGAAGGAAGCTATACTGCTAAGCTAGCACAGTGAAGGAAACTATACTACTAAGCTAGCACAGTGAAGGAAGCTATACTCCTAAGCTAGCACAGTAAAGGAAGCTATACTGCTAAGCTAGCACAGTGAAGGAAGCTATACTGCTAAGCTAGCACAGTGAAGGAAGCTCTACTGCTAAGCTAGCACAGTGAAGGAAACTATACTGCTAAGCTAGCACAGTGAAGGAAGCTATACTGCTAAGCTAGCACAGTGAAGGAAACTATACTGCTAAGCTAGCACAGTGAAGGAAGCTATACTGCTAAGCTAGCACAGTGAAGGAAACTATACTGCTAAGCTAGCAGAGTGAAGGAAGCTATACTGCTAAGCTAGCACAGTGAAGAAAGCTATACTGCTAAGCTAGCACAGTGAAGGAAGCTATACTGCTAAACTAGCACAGTGAAGGAAGCTATACTGCTAAGCTAGCACAGTGATGCCTGTTACATGTGGGACAATTCGATCGCCTAATACACTGGGGGAAGAGCAACAAGTGTTCTCTATTTAAAGAGTAGTAGAAAACACAGGAACATACCCGGAACATACCGTACCTTACAGAGATGTAGTGTACTGTACTGTAGGACAGGAGGACGCATTCTGCACAGTTCAACAATCCAAAATAAAATAAACATCAAGCAAATACAGCTGATAACAACAGTAGACTCTTCACTGTCACACACATATACACACACACACACACGCACACACACACACCCAAACACGCACACAGGCTAATAATCTAAAAAAGTGAAACAAACACCAGAAACCAGATAAACTGTTAAAGGAAACAAGCTGAAATCCAACTAAACTCACATGCCGTTCCGTACTCTCTCATCTCAATCCAGTAGATTCATTTCATGTCACGTTGATGAGCATTACGCTACAAAACACTACAAAACAGTACATTAACAGTACGTCTATTAGCGCTGTAGTGTTATGTATCAGAATAGTACAGAAGCCTATCAGAACTCTTCTCTAGTGCTATGTATCAGAATAGTACAGTAGCCTATCAGAACTCTTCTCTAGTTCTATGTATCCCAGGCGGCTCTACGGTTGCTACGGTATTGTGTCTAACTCCACATGGCTGTTTCCTGCCACAGGCTAAATATACAGACAAGGTGCCCTTGGTCTGCTCCTGAGGGGGGCTATCAGAGAGCTGGGTACCTAGCAGTACAGCACAGAACAGCTCACTTCTCCTGTGGGGGGCTAGGGAGTTGGGGGTTGGAGCATAAAATAAAGGTACAGTCTCTATAGAGGGGGGCGGGGTAACTTCTGGAACACTGCTTCAGTGACCCGCTTTAGCGAGAACTCATTGTTCTCAGCTCATGTACACACACACACGTCTCTCTCTCTCCAGACTCCAGTCCTTACCTTTCACCTCCTCATCCTCCACAGTGGTGCTGCTGTCAGTTGATTCCTACAGAGGGGAGGGAGAAGCACCATCAGAGAGGAACACACCAAACAGGCACGTATGCACGCGGACACACACACACAAACACACACACACACACAAACACACACACACACAAACACACACACACACACACACACACACACACACAAACACTCACACACACACAAACACACACAAACACACACAAACACAAACACACACACACAAACACACACACAAACACACACACACAAACACACACACACAAACACACACAAACACACACACACAAACACACACAAACACACTCCTGCTATTGAAACACACTTCTTAAGATCACGAGAACATGCAAAACACAAACCCAACTGTCTATTCACTGCTTATATTAAATCATTAAATCAATCAATTAAATGTCACACAAAGAATACACACAACACCTTGCAGGGAGTATACGTTTAGGCAACGCCTCATTTCATGTCTTACAGGGACCAACAATGGTACCAGTATCTCATATTATGTCTTACAGGGACCAACAATGGTACCAGTATCTCATATTATGTCTTACAGGGACCAACAATGGTACCAGTATCTCATATTATGTCTAACAGGGACCAACAATGGTACCAGTATCTCATATTATGTCTAACAGGGACTAACAATGGTACCAGTATCTCATATTATGTCTTACAGGGACCAACAATGGTACCAGAATCTCATATTATGTCTAACAGGGACTAACAATGGTACCAGTATCTCATATTATGTCTAAAAGGGACCAACAATAGTACAATGAAAAGGCCCCGACTTCAACACAATGAACAGGCCTTGACTTCAACACAATGAACAGGCCTCGACTTCAACACAATGAACAGGCCTTGACTTCAACACAATGAACAGGCCTTGACTTCAACACAATGAACAGGCCTCGACTTCAACACAATGAACAGGCCTCGACTTCAACACAATGAACAGGCCCTGACTTCAACACAATGAACAGGCCTCGACTTCAACACAATGAACAGGCCTCGACTTCAACACAATGAACAGGCCTCGACTTCAACACAATGAACAGGCCTTGACTTCAACACAATGAACAGGCCATCACTTCAACACAATAAACAGGCCCTGGCTTCAACACAATGAACAGTCCTCGACTTCAACAAAATGAACAGGCCTCGACTTCAACAAAATAAAAAGGCCTTGACGTCAACACAATGAACAGGCCTTGACTTCAACACAATGAACAGGCCCCAATTTCAACGCAATGAACAGGCCTTGACTTCAACACAATGAACAGGCCTTGACTTCAAAACAATGAACAGGCCTTGACTTCAACACAATGAACAGGCCTTGACTTCAACACAATGAACAGGCCCCAACTTCAACACAATGAACAGGCCATGACATCAACAAAATGAACAGGCCTCGACTTCAACACAATGAACAGGCCTCGACTTCAACACAATGAACAGGCCATCACTTCAACACAATAAACAGGCCCTGACTTCAACACAATGAACAGTCCTCGACTTCAACACAATGAACAGGCCTTGACTTCAAAACAATGAACAGGCCCCGACTTCAACACAAAGAACAGGCCATGACTTCAACAAAATGAACAGGCCATGACTTCAACACAATGAACAGGCCCCGACTTCTACACAATGAACAGGCCCCGACGTCAACACAATGAACAGGCCTCAACATCAACACAATGAACAGGACTTGACTTCAACACAATGAACAGGACTTGACTTCAACACAATGAACAGGCCTTGACTTCAACACAGTGAACAGGCCTTGACTTCAACACAATGTACAGGCCTTGACTTCAACACAATGAACAGGCCTTGACTTCAACACAATGAAAGGGCCCTGACTTCAACACAATGAACAGGCCCCGACTTCTACACAATGAACAGGCCCCAATTTCAACACAATGAACAGGCCTTGACTTCAACACAATGAACAGGCCTCGACTTCAACACAATAAACAGGCCTTGACTTCAACACAATGTATAGGCCTTGACTTCAACACAATCAACAGGCCTTGACTTCAACACAATGAACAGGCCCCGACTTCAACACAATGAACAGGCCTTGACTTCAACAAAATGAACCGGCCTTGACTTCAACACAGTGAACAGGCCTTGACTTCAACACAATGTACAGGCCTTGACTTCAACACAATCAACAGGCCTTGACTTCAACACAATGAACAGGCCCCAACTTCAACACAATGAACAGGCCTTGACTTCAACAAAATGAACAGGCCTTGACTTCAACACAGTGAACAGGCCTTGACTTCAACACAATGTACAGGCCTTGACTTCAACACAATCAACAGGCCTTGACTTCAACACAATGAACAGGCCCCGACATCTACATAATGAACAGGCCCCGACTTCAACACAATGAACAGGCCTTGACTTCAACACAATGAACAGGCCTCGACTTCAACACAATAAACAGGCCTTGACTTCAACACAGTGAACAGGCCTGGACTTCAACACAATGTACAGGCCTTGACTTCAACACAATCAACAGGCCTTGACTTCAACACAATGAACAGGCCTTGACTTCAACACAATGAACAGGCCTCGATTTCAACACAATGTACAGGCCTTGACTTCAACACAATGAACAGGCCCTGACTTCAACAAAATGTACAGGCCTTGACTTCAACACAATCAACAGGCCTTGACTTCAACATAATGAACAGGCCCTGACTTCAACAAAATGAACAGGCCCTGACTTCAACACAATGAACAGGCCCCGACTTCTACACAATGAACAGGCCCCGACTTCAACACAATGAACAGGCCTCAACATCAACACAATGAACAGGCCTTGACTTCAACATAATGAACAGGACTTGACTTCAACACAATGAACAGGCCTTGACTTCAACACAATAAACAGGCCTCGACTTCAACACAATGTACAGGCCTTGACTTCAACACAATCAACAGGCTTTGACTTCAACAAAATGAACAGGCCCTGTCTTCAACAAAATGAACAGGCCCTGACTTCAACACAATGAACAGCCCCCGACTTCTACACAATGAACAGGCCCCGACTTCAACACAATGAACAGGCCTCAACATCAACACAATGAACAGGCCTTGACTTCAACACAATGAACAGGACTTGACTTCAACACAATGAACAGGCCTTGACTTCAACACAGTGAACAGGCCTTGACTTCAACACAATGAACAGGCCCCGACTTCAACACAATGAACAGGCCTCGACTTCAACACAATGAACAGGACTTGACTTCAACACAATGAACAGGCCTTGACTTCAACACAGTGAACAGGCCTTGACTTCAACACAATGTACAGGCCTTGACTTCAACACAATCAACAGGCCTTGACTTCAACACAATGAACAGGCACCAACATCTACATAATGAACAGGCCCCGACTTCAACACAATGAACAGGCCTTGACTTCAACACAATGAACAGGCCTCGACTTCAACACAATAAACAGGCCTTGACTTCAACAGAGTGAACAGGCCTTGACTTCAACACAATGTACAGGCCTTGACTTCAACACAATCAACAGGCCTTGACTTCAACACAATGAACAGGCCTTGACTTCAACACAATGAACAGGCCTCGACTTCAACACAATGAACAGGCCTTGACTTCAACACAATGAACAGGCCTCGACTTCAACACAATGAACAGGCCATCACTTCAACACAATAAACAGGCCCTGACTTCAACACAATGAACAGTCCTCGACTTCAACACAATGAACAGGCTTTGACTTCAACACAATGAACAGGACTCGACTTCAACACAATGAACAGACCTTGACTTCAACACAATGAACAGGCCTCGACTTCAACACAATGTACAGGCCTTGACTTCAACACAATCAACAGGCCTTGACTTCAACAAAATGAAAAGGCCCTGACTTCAACACAATGAACAGGCCCCAACTTCTACACAATGTACAGGCCCCGACTTCTACACAATGAACAGGCCCCGACTTCAACACAATGAACAGGCCTCAACATCAACACAATGAACAGGCCTTGACTTCAACACAATGAACAGGACTTGACTTCAACACAATGAACAGGCCTTGACTTCAACACAGTGAACAGGCCTTGACTTCAACACAATGAACAGGCCCCGACTTCAACACAATGAACAGGCCTCGATTTCAACACAATGAACACGACTTGACTTCAACACAATGAACAGGCCTTGACTTCAACACAGTGAACAGGCCTTGACTTCAACACAATCAACAGGCCTTGACTTCAACACAATGAACAGGCCCCGACATCTACATAATGAACAGGCCCCGACTTCAACACAATGAACAGGCCTTGACTTCAACACAATGAACAGGCCTCGACTTCAACACAATAAACAGGCCTTGACTTCAACACAATGTACAGGCCTTGACTTCAACACAATC